TGTCACCTCAGTCGCTCATGATAAGGGCGATTTAAATTAATATTTTTGTTTTTTAAGCAAGGTATTTCTTTTCCAAAACAAAGCCACGGACTGTCCACGCCCGACTAAAGACGTCATTGGCTAAATAAGATCACATGACACACGAAGGAGGAGGAAAGATACCCGACCAGGACCTCATTGGCCGTGAGCGATCACGTGACGCACGAGGAGAATCGGTCGACGCCCTGTTAGAAGTGTAAGTGTGAGAAGCCGATACGAAGAAGCGGGGAAGCGGGTACACGCCCCTCAGAGGCACAGTAAGGGAGTGGAAATGAGAGTGAGTTACCGAAAATGGAAAGAATGAAAAATCCTAACCAGAAATAAGAAGGGTGGATACGTATTTAGAATTATCGAAGAAACCCCTGGCGCCGACAGACCCACCCCAGTTTTGACTGCGTCAATAAAAACGAGACCCCAACCGACAGAAATCAGTTCAGTTCAGCCGCGGACGGCGAAAGAGTTCAGCCGTGGACGACAAGCAGAGATGAGCGCCCAGTGTTGAGACCGCGTCAAGATAGCTGACCAAGATTCACGCACACTTCTGGACTCTTCTTCAACCAAGAACAAGTAGTTTGAAGTGCGACTTAGAATCAGACCACAGAAATAAGTTTTTTTTTTTTTTCGACTTTCGTCCAAAGACACACCGAAACACAAATTTCTTAGAGAGCGGACAACTTGAAGCCTTAAAAGTTGCCTAGTAAAAAGCGTCGTGCCACAATCCACAGAACGGGTCGGGAAGTAGACATAGTCCTATGTACCGAGCAAATAGACATAAAAAGTTTGTTACCTTTTTTCTTTGATACGTTGGACCTTGTGAGTTTATTTTATTTTATACATAATTGTGTGTTATCACCCCGTTGGACTCAACTTGTATTACGGCCCCACCCCCCTGTTTGATCTCGTCTGTCTAAGATCAATTCACAACGTGGGTAGGCAGACTGGAGATCAGTGCAGTTACCCTGGTAACCAGGCGTTGGAAGCGGGTTGGGAACGGCGAGGCTGGTATCAATCTAACCAAAGGGTTAGAACGTCACGTTTGGAGCAGCGAGGAGCGAACAGCTGACGCCGCGGCGAAGACGTCACAGTTGGTGCTGTCCGTGACCAGGATATCAGAGCCTGCGGAGCACGTGACGTCACAATTGGTGCCGCGACCGGGATCGAACGACACAGTCGACGCTGCGACCGGGGGACGACGTCAAACTATAGATAGAGAAAGAAAAGCTCAATATCCAGATATGGAACAAAATTTAATTGAATTTGTGAAAGAAAAACGATCAAGTGGATGTTCCATAAGAACTGTGGAAATAAAGATGAAGGCAAAAGAACTTATGAAAGCCATGTATCCTGGAATTTTTTATTTTTTACCAAAAAAAAAAAAAAAAAAAAAATGCGGTTACTGAGAAATATACATTTATTGAGAGAAGTGTTACAATTAATTTTGTTGGATTTAAAATGAATGTTAGGATAACATCTTTCTTATTTTAGAACAACAATTACGTATGTATTATTATAAATCAATAATGAAAAAAATATTTTTGTTTAAGGTTATTTATAATACGCACCCCTACTATCGCCTGTAATTTACAGTAAAAAAAGAATGCGTGTTATTTTCAAGAAATTACGGTATCTGTCTGGAGCTAGCATCTCGACTTCAATCACTTTCCAACCGTTGTGACTTGGCTTCCCTCTGTCTTTTCTATAAATATTTTAATGGCAATCGTTCTGATGAGCTCTTCTTGGAAATTAGGCTAGTTTAGGGTTGTTTGAATCTTTAGTTTCTTTTTTCCAGTTAACTTAGCTAAGGCATGTGTGACACTATTTAGCGGTCGCGTGAAAATTAAAAGCGAGAAATAATTAAGGCGAGAAGAAGCTGAAATAATTAAGGCGATAAGAAGCTATCACGAAAAGACATAGTGAGCGATGTTATTTTTTTTAACAAAGAAAAGTGGTAAAGATTTTATTTTCATTTGCGAAGAAAAGTATTTTTTCGCAGAAGATAGGAAATTCGTAAGATCTCGGATCTGTCGAATTAATTTATGCTACGAGGCGGCGAATAAAAGATAGCCATCTGCCCATGGCAATAATGAAAATCTCAAATTGGTCAAGTGGCCTACGAAACAGAAGCTGGGAGATAATGTTAATCAGGTCAGGCACTGACCGAGAATGGCATCAGCTTAGGCTATCCCAGAGAGAAAGGGAGAGAGAGGGAAAAGAATAAACCATTAACTATCTTTCGGAGATATCATTTGGTTTTGGGAAATCCACGCATCCCGACTTCGACTTCTAACCAAGAACAATTTATTTTTGAAGAACGACTTAGACTCACACGACCAAAGCAAGTTTTACGAATATCGCCTGAAGATAAAAAAAAAAACAGTTTCTTGAAAAAACAACTTAAGATGTTAAGACTCGCCTAACAAGCGCAAAGTGTCACGAATCCATAGAAGCGGTTTGGGAGAAAGACGCCGTCCTGTATTCAGCAACAAGATATAAAAATATTTGTTATTCTTTTTTAACGCATTTGAACTTTTCGAGTTGTTACTTTATTTTCTTTTACATATACTTGTGCGGTGTTACCTTTGCTCGAACTCGGCTTGCATTGCGGCCCGGCGACTGATTGATTTCGTCTACCTAAGATCAAATCACAACGTGGGTAGGTTAGACGAGAAATCAAAGCAGTTACTTCGGTACCCAGACGTTGGAGGCGAGCTGGGAACGACAAAGCTGATACCGAATCTAACCAGATTCCCATCCGAATCGGCCAAGGGTTAGAACATCACATTTGGTGCTGCGACCAATACCATGTCACATTGGTCGTCTCAGGATAGCACGGGAGCGCAGAGGCCGGGGTGACGATACATATATATGCTCATCGGTCCCTTTTATTTCTGTCCCTATTTTTCTTTAGTTTAATTCCCCATCCTCTACCTCGTTAGGTGGTCAGTGATGTGAGTTCTCTGCGGGGCGCCTTTCGTTTCGCGTGTATGTTTTCGTATTTGTTGTTGTGTCTGAGTGAGTGCGTGTCTGTGTGAATGAATGTTTTATATTATTATAGTCCCGCGTGGATTTCGTCCAGTTAACCGATGTTTCTGTCATATTTAAGGATTGTGGTGATGATGGTGGGGGTTATTACTAATATTATTTTGTTTATTTTCTTGTAAATAGTTTTGTTTCATATTGTAAATACTAATTGAAGCTAATTTTAAAATTGTTGCTTTATTCCCCCCACCCGACAGACAATGAATTGTACATATGGGGACTGTTTAGGATTTTCATAGAGACAATGAGGTATTATGGTGGATGTAGTAAGAAAGGTAAATAAGAAAATGCGTTGTTTTGGTGTAAGGAATATTGTTTGTATGATTGGGTCAGTGTTTGTTGCTAGCTAAGTTTAAAGTTAAGACAGAAGAGGACTGTCCTTTTTCCCCCATTCTCCATTTTGGGCTTGTGTCACATTTTCTGTACATAGCAGAAATAAATATCGCTCTCCTCCTTGCTACTTCGACCTCGTGAATTTAAGCACTCTACAAGATTGGCAACTCGGTTTTATTGTTGAAATAGATATAACCATAATTTCTATTCTAATTGTTTTTTTTCACATTTCCCGCCTGTGCAACCTTCTTCTTGCTTCCCTGCCATCTACGTTCTTCAAAAAATTTAAATGTAATGTCAATCGCCATCTTTCTTCCTGAATCCTGTTCTTTTAACCATCTTTCTCCTGACTAGTGTCTTCTCATTCTCTTTTTCTCGCGTCTTTGTAGCATTTGTAGCTGGCTTTGAGTGAAATGATTAAAAAAAAAAAAAAAAAAAAAGAAAAAAAAGAGAAGCCGTCAGCAGCCTGGTCCCTGACATGGATGTATCGACCAGAAAAACGCGCATGACTGAAATTCTTAAATAAACAACAACAATAAAGAGTGGAAAAAAAGTAATATTATTTTATTGCTATCACATTACGTAAATAAGGAAATACTGAATTTGTTCACCCGGAAATTAACCATAGAATATGCTGCCCTCGAAGTTGTTTCACCCAATATTGCAAACTGCTACAAAAAAAAAAAAAAAAAAAATCTGAAAAGTCAAGACATATTCTTAAATAGCCTCGCCAGCTCAGGACTTTCCTGTGGGTGTTATTCATGTTGCCAAACCCGTTCAGAAATATCTGTAAGCCGTATACTATCTTTTAGATCAACGATTAAAAATGGCTTTTAATGAAGCCTTTGCATCTACACTTCTTTGAACCTTGTGTCACTGGTGCTACAGAATCACAAAGAACTGTACCAGATAAAAGAGACCACATCACCCGAGGACTTTAAACAGCTGCAACAGCTAAAAGGTATATTACACGTAACTCGAAAAGAAGATAATGTCATAGTCAAGATGTTGACCTTCCTCACGACTTCAAATAAAAGGTTAGGAAGGAAACCCCCTTCAACAATAGAAAGAGCGATAACAGCGACTGGACTTGAGAAACACATTTTCCTGAAAATTTTCTTTTAACAGAAAGATTTTATAGATTTCAATCGCCAGCGGCACTGTCTGTTCGGTCAATGAATGCCGAATGTTTCCTTATAAAAAAAAACGGCTAATATTACCATTACCTCGCCCCGGTGCTGTTGTTAAGTTTTTAAGGAAAGGTAAAATCCAGTATTTTAAATACTAACATTCAAAGTAGATAGGCAGTTTGACCGATTGAGTCTAGACAATCTTTCCATAATTAACTAGTCAATTTATGCACGTGTATTAAATGCCCACAGACAACTTTGTTAGAAGATGAAAGCAGAGTTAAGTTTGTTTATGGCATTCTGAGTTCAGTCCGCAGAAATGGCTCGCATTTTTAATTGTAAGATAGGAGGCTTTAAATCTCAGTTCTGCAACGCTATCCAGACTTATTATACACCGTTAGCAGTCGGCACATTCATTAAATCTTCTGTGCCGATGCAATATTTCTACATCTATCAATCATGATTTGTCTATATCTAACACTCCGTCAGTTGCTATGCATGTCTATCAGGTAAACGCTCGAAGTGCTTATCAGTCTGTCTCGTCGGGCAACAGTCGTAGGATTTTATGTCCATGTCTTCTTAAGAAAATATTTTCTGAGTCTTTATTTAAAGATCATTTTCATTGTGCGAAGCGAAATGTTCTCTTTGTTTTCATATTTATTTGCTTACTGTCTTGTTTACTTGTTTTGTTTTTCTTCGAGTTTTCTTTTAATGTCTCCTTTTTCCTGTCCATGGCTATTCATTAAAATCCTGGCCGACATTTAAAAAAACCAGGTTCGGCCATGAACAACGAAAGGAAATCACTTCAACGGCGGTGAATTATTTTGCCAGGTTATCAGCCATGTCAATCTGGCATGTTGCAATGGCGTGCCGACTAGCTTTCTAAATGACTCGGTTAACCTTCATTGTGCTGTTTGCACCATGGACGTTTGGGACTAGCCATGACTGAGACACACAGAGAGCAGATTAAAGTTTACGTTAAGATTCAACACACATATATGCACGCACATGCATTTACATTAAATATGGAGGTTTGATTAAGCATTTCTGCTGCCTCCATATCTCTCTCTGTTGAAACTGGATGCGTAAAAAAAAACAGTCGTATAAGTATGGAGGCCGAGAAAAAATACAACACTTAAAAAATACATATTGTATACATTTATCTTCATTTGTGTATGGGGGGGTATATGTGACGTATCTGGTTAGCGGCTGAGGTAGTTGTGCATTTTCTATTGTCACCGATATACATTGTTCGAGTCAAATTAAAAGTGTATATTCTGAATGCTGATTATTAATGCAATCAAGCTTTTATTACTTGCAATATTGGTGCTATACAATCTCCCTACTCTTTTCACTTCCAGTTGACAGTTTGCCAAATTACACCTGTCACACACACACACACACACACACACACACATATATATATATTTAGGTAACGTATCTTAATTCAAATATTTGGTTGAATAATCTGGACATATGTCTATTTATTTTTATGATGATCCTCTCGAATTCTCTGATCGATTTCTTAATGTTGATATTAAATTCATTAAGGAAGGCACCGTAGTTATTTTTTTGTTTTATTCATTTTATTTTCACAAGTACTTTCAATCTCATCCGAGATCATTTAGATTTTATGAAGAATCTCTACATATATAGCAGAAGCACCAGACCTCGTGTGGCAGCAATATTCTAAGTATGGATGAATGGTAAACGTATAAGATAGATTCTAGAGAGAAAAACTGTCTAGTACGAAACAGGGAACAAAGTTTTCGAGTAGAAGACCTAGAAATTGATTCAATATAACCTTTCCACTTTATGTCAGCCGAGAATATTAGCCCGAGAAGGCGCTACGATTCATTCTCGTGGAGGTTAGCATCAGCCATGCTAACGGAAGGTAGAAAGAGGTCTCTCTGATGATTATAAAACCTAACGATATGTACCTAGCCGGTCTTATTCAACGACACACACACACACACACACACACACACACACACACACACACACACACACACACACACACACACACACACACACATATATATATTTAAAAAAAAGGAGAGAAACCGCAAACGTTTTTGTTTATAATGTGAATTTGTTTTAATGTATATATTATACTTTATTCTTCATATTTCTACTACACGTGTTTCCGGTTTCGTGACCTTCTTCAGGCAAATAAAAGGAATACATTTTTAAAGGAATAAATTTCCCTTAGGTTCTTTTAATATTTCATTTTTCGTTTTCTATATTTGTAGTGGGCCTTGATTTAATTTCTGGACTGTTGGCAAAAGCGAATTTCTGTCTAAGTGGTAATAAAATCATTAGGTTTCGTTTGAGTAGTGGTGATGATAGATGTGTTGATGAGAGATGTTTTCTTATCCCTACGTTACTCTTGACACTGTTAAATCTATTTCCATTTTTGCGCATCGTGTGCGTGTCCCTGTTAGCTTGCACATGTATATGTATATTCCCTCCCCCATATATACATACTGTCTTATAAAAGACCGGACCAAACCTAATAATTTTTTCAAGCGCTTTCGGCTATACCTTTAGCCGTTTTCGAGGATGAATTATATTTACTGTTAACTGGAAATGGATTGTTGTATGTACGTAAGCATTTATCATTATAGAATGTTTTATTTTCAAAACACAGTCAACATATCAAAGCGCTTGTAAATACATTTGAACAGTTTTTTGTATAATTTATCTACGAAAAAGAAAAAAAAAATCATATGAGAAAATATATAGAATACTTAATCAAACACCTTGTCTGTCATGTTCCATGAAGCTTGCATGAAAGAAGGATTGCTGCCTAAACACACACACACACACACACACACACACACACACACATATATATATATATATATATAAGTTCTACTAATTAACCCATAGCTGGGGAGAAGAGGTGGGTTCATACCTTTCCTAAGGTCATTTGCGCACAAGTGTATATAACGAACCCGACCATAATTGGAACTCGACTCTTTGATTCGGAGCCCTTGTCCATTACAGCCCCTGGTATTTCCAAGCTCGTCCCAGGCTCGACGTTGCTTCACTTCGCTGATCGTACGAAAATTGATGTTTCAACGTGATGTGACCGTAAACAGAAAAGTAAAGGACACTGCCAGAAAGAGACAGTTGAATTTTCTGGGCCAAATGATAAGGACAGAAAGCTTGAATGATTTGACACTTACAGGCCATACTGAAGGTAAGAGTGACAGAGATAAACAACGATAAACCTACCTAACGAACTTGTGTAAATGAATAGCAGAACAGGGATTGAGATAGCATTATTATGAATTGGGAAAAGAGCAGCATCAGTAGTACGCAGTTATCACTGAGCTTAGCAAGATTTCAAACATGACATTTGTAAATAAAAAAAAGTACGGATAAGTTAGAAGTGAGGGATCGATTTGACAATATATTTATATTATGAACAGGGCCCCCACTACTAAAATAGTAACAGTCAGTACGTAGGCTACACACTGTTTCATTCCTGTCTTCAGTATGTGTCATGGCCCTGTTAGGGCCAGAAATAAAAAGATAAAGAGAAGAATTGAGTTAAATAAATATATTAACAGAAACAGTAATACAAACATATACAAACAAAAGGGTTACAGCAAGAATGTTCGGGCCGACTGTCAGAACTGACTGCTGGAAACTTCCCTAAAAGGCAGTACCTGTTCCTATTTATAGCTGGGGGGGAGGTCATGCGTGCGTGGGTAAATTACCATGACAATATGTCATCTGAGTGTCAAATTCTCCAAGTACTCTTTTCTAGTAATAAGGAAGGAAGGTTTTAAAAAAGTTGACATTTACAGGACATATTAAAGGCAAGAGGGACAGAGGTAAACAGTGAGTAACTTACCGAACGAGATTGTTTAAATGGATGGCAAAACAGGGCCTGGGAGGTATGGTGAAAAAACAAACATGGCTAAGAGCTACAAAGGATAGAAGGTTGCCATGCTCCCCTACGTTCTGAAGCTACAGCGTCCCTAGAAGAAGAAGAAGAAGAAGAAGAAGAAGAAGAAGAAGAAGAAAAGAAGAAGACGAAGATTAGGCCTTTTCAGTATTCTATTACTCTGACATTTTTATCAGACTACTGTCTTCGTGGATGTGCGGGGTGGTGTAAAGCTCGGAATGAGAAATCAGAGAGCCGAGTTCGAATTCTAGTCATTTCCTTCATTACAATCTCTTTCGCGCAAATACTCTTAGTAAAGCCATGGATCCATCGCTTCTCGTCGCCCGAGCTAAATAGCAGGAGTACAAGACGGACTAGAGTCTTAGTTGGCAGTTAGTCTACTGCAGAAAGAAACGGCGGCCTATTGCGGGAAATCTTCTGCCTAGGTCGATAAAGACATGATCGTTCAGGCGTATATTACATATGCCACCTGACTAAAGTGATTGTCTTCATATTTGTTGCTTTTAAAACAAACGTTCAAACAAAATTAAACCTTGAAGCCATTATCATTTCAAATACGAGAGATACACAACCGGCATATCTTTAATAATAATACATGATTCTTTTCCAATTTCGTTTGTTCTCCGCTAATAATTTTAGCACAATGTCTTACCGTTCAGTCGTGTCAATCTCTTAAGATTGTCATTTTCTACACACAAAGAAAATTAAAATGACTTCTGGTGATTACAGCGTGTAATACAGATCCGAGAAAAAAATGTATTGTTCAGAATATGTTAATAGCAACAAAGATGAAGATAATAACCTATTGAACAACGTTAGCTTCTTGTTTTGGGGATCGAAACTCAATTCACCGTCGAGTAGTTGAAACATGAAACATCCTAACAGGATGAGCCGTGACATGTGCCCTACTGAATGAAGAAATGTGCGTATTTTGGGTGTTTGTTGTTCTGTACATTCGATGAAGAGACTTTTTTCAATTGTCCAAATTGGCTAAAGCTAAATGTATTCCGATTCATAAAAGAAGTGTCTGCTTTGCTCAGTCTACGCCTTCCCCTATCGGAAATTTCATGAACTAATAGCAACCAAAAATAGACGCCTCATTGCATCTGTCTCACATTAGCTTACCCTGGCTCCAGCAAACAGAAATTGCGAACAGTCAGAACTTCCTATTAAGAAGATGTAAAAGAAAAGGACGAAAGAAAATGACGAAAGAAAAGAAGTAAAAATGATAAAAATAAAGTAAAAAGTTAAAAGAAAAATATAATAAAATGCTTTAGAACACTTGAATACATTTTTGTGGAGGAATATTTTTGATTGCATATTTGTTAATGTCGGAATGGTTACAGTGGTGAAGTGGCTGAAATGGCACAGTACGTTTCTTTTTCTTTCTTAAATTAATCATACTCTCTTTAATGTTTCTTTCTTTCTTTTTCTTTTACTTTGACTATTAATCAAGCCCTTATTTTCACAGTAATACTCTCATTTCTTTTTTTTCTGAGGGATAACATTTTCTTTCTTTTCTTTTTCTTTTTCTTTCTTTCTTTCTTTCTTTCTTTCCTTTTCTTCTACTTTGACTATTAATCAAGCCCTTATTTTCACAGTAATACTTTCATTTCTTTTTTTTTCTGAGGGCTAACATTTTCTTTCTTTCTTTCTTTTCTTTTCTTTTCTTTTCTTTTCTTTTCTTTCTTTCTTTCTTTCTTTCTTTCTTTCCTTTTCTTCTACTTTGACTATTAATCAAGCCCTTATTTTCACAGTAATACTCTCATTTCTTTTTTTTCTGAGGGATAACATTTTCTTTCTTTTCTTTTCTTTTCTTTTCTTTCTTTCTTTCTTTCCTTTTCTTCTACTTTGACTATTAATCAAGCCCTTATTTTCACAGTAATACTTTCATTTCTTTTTTTTTCTGAGTGCTAACATTTTCTTTCTTTTCTTTTCTTTTCTTTCTTTCTTTCTTTCTTTCTTTCTTTCTTTCTTTCTTTCTTTCCTTTTCTTCTACTTTGACTATTAATCAAGCCCTTATTTTCACAGTAATACTTTCATTTCTTTTTTTTTCTGAGGGCTAACATTTTCTTTCTTTCTTTCTTTTCTTTTCTTTTCTTTTCTTTTCTTTTCTTTTCTTTCTTTCTTTCTTTCTTTCTTTCCTTTTCTTCTACTTTGACTATTAATCAAGCCCTTATTTTCACAGTAATACTCTCATTTCTTTTTTCCTATGGGCTAACATTTTCTTTCTTTCTTTCTTTCTTTCTTTCTTTCTTTCTTTCTTTCTTTCTTTCTTTCTTCTGCCAGCTTCATCTTTTCGTGATATTCCTGTTATCACGTAATTTCTTTTTTTTTCATAATAATTCTTACATTTTTCTCTCACTATCACTTCTTTTCCCAAACGCCAAGATATTCTTACTTTCATCGAATTTATTTGTTTCTTTCTTTCTTTCTTTGTATTCTCTTTCTTTCTTTTTTCTTCTGCCAGTTTTATCTTTTCTCCAACTCCGACTATTATTCAATTCCTTCCTTCCTTCCTTCCTTCCTTCCTTCCTTCCTGTCAGCTTTATGATTTCCTTATTTAGACTTCCTCTCTTTTTTCCTTATACATCTCAATATATGCTTCTACCTTTACTCATCCATCTTCTCTTTTCTTTCTTCTGTCAGTTTCATCGATATCTTCTGTTCTGACTATTATTCAGTTTCTTTTTTCATAGTAATTCTTATATTTTTTCTCATTTCTTTTTTTTCCCGAAAGCTAACACTTTCTTTCTTTCTTTCTTTCTTTCTTTCTTTCTTTCTTTCTTTCTTTCTTTCTTTCTTCAGTCAGGTTTATTTTTCTTCTACTCTGACTATTATTCAATTTCTTTATTGATAGCAATTCTCTCATTTTCCGAATGCTAACATTTTCTTTCTTTCTTTCTTTCTTTCTTTCTTTCTTTCTTTCTTTCTTTCTTTCTTTCTTTCAGGTTTTAGGATTCTTTAATCTTTATTCCTCTATGTTTTCCTTTCCTTTAACCAGTCCTTACTTCTTTACTCTTTTCCTTTTTTTTTTAGACTTCCTCTTTCTTTTTCTGATACATCTCAATAAATGCTTCTACGTTTTCTCTTCCACCTTCTTCTTCTTCTTCTTCTTCACCGCCACATTCTTTTATCTGCTTTTCTTTATTTGTCCTCGGCATTGTTACTGTTGCCGTCAGTGGAAGTTGAAATATAAATGCAAAAGAAAATAAAAGATAAAAAAAAACCCCACGAAACTAGGGAGGAGAAATTTGCTACGGCTTCGCTGACCAACCACAAAAACCAATTGCGACTCATTGCCATTGTTTGCTCGAGCGTGGTACAACCAACCACAGAGGTTCGGGTGGCCCCCGCGGTAAATCGCTTCGATAACAATGAACAGGGATATTTGTAACCTGATAGAAATGGCGATAAAATTACAAATACTCTTTTCAAATAATTACAAACGCAGCAATAATAATAATAATAATAATAATAATAATAATAATAATAATAATGGTATTATTATCTATTTCCTTATAAGGAAACATTAAGTATTTATTGACCATACAGTCAGTATGAAAATAGTTTTTCAAGAAAATACATTTATCAAGTCCGCCCAGCAAATGTTATTGCTCTTTCAAGTATTGATGGAAGTTTCCTAACTAAATTTTTTTTTAATAGTATGGCCTGTCAACATCTTGAGTATGTCATTTTATCTTCATGTGATATCCATTTTAGTTGTTGTTGCTGTTGAAAGTCCTCAAGTGACGTGGTTTTGTGATATTTAGCCCAGTTCTTTACGATCTTGTAGCGCCAGTACACGAGGTCCGAAGAAAGATTATCCTCGCTAAAACCTACAGGCTTAATTCGATGGAAGCCATTTTTAACCCTTGTTCTGAGAAAGTGGTTGTATATAGCTGACAGTTTAGATATTTATGAATGAGTTTGACACCATGCGTATGAAAGTCTTGATCTGACGAGGCTATTTAAGTTGATGTTTTGATTTATTCATGGAACTGATTGTCGAAAAGCGAATTGAAATGGAGACCAAAAGCCGACTGTTAAGATCAGGCCCCGAGAACTAATTCTGTCCGGAAGAATATTAATAAGTGGGATTCGTACAATTGCTGACAGTGTTGCATAGAGGTGGAAAAGCTCTCCCACATAGCGCTTGTGGTATGCTTGTACAGATAGAATACAAGCTTCGGCATAATAAAGTGACCCCCCCCATCTTCATTGGTGCTGATGTAGGAATTAGGAATAAAAATGGTAACCGAAATTACCAAACCAAGATGTTATGGGATTTCAACATCCTGTCCTGGGTATGACGATAAACTACATCCGGCAACAAGGCCTCTGATCGGGAGGTTTGAGGAGCGTGAAAAAACTCTTAATTACTGTTGTTCCCAGGTCCACCCTGACCCGGAGTGGTAGCAACTTTTAGGGTCCCATTTATGGGCAAATAGTTAACCCCCAAACTGGGATCAAAACACTATGAAAGTGTAAGTTTTTATAGTAAAAATACCAGTAATACTTTTCATAGTAAAAAATACCACCAATACATTTTCATAGTAAAAAATACTAGTAATACATTATAATAGTAAAAATTACCAGTAATACATTTTCATAGTAAAAATACCAGCAATACATTTTCATAGTAAAAAATATGAGTAATACATTTTCATAGTGAAAAAAATACCAGTAATACATTTTCACAGTAAAAAAATACCAGCAATACATTTTTGGAAAAGAAATTACTAATGCTCCCAAGAAAATCAAATTTCGGCATTAAATGACCTATGAAGATGTTGATGTACCACTAAACAAACAATAAAAAATAATCGATTTCAGTATTCAAGCAGACTGCAACTTTAAGATCACCAAACAAGACATCATCATTGTTGAAAAAAAATGCTTCCTCATCGATATGACTGTCTCTGTATGAAGGCCAAAGAAACTGGAAAGCTTAAAAAGTACACTGGCATTCAGATTGAAGTTGCCAGATTGTGGGACGTTCAGGCCACTATTGTCTCCCCAATTTTCATTGGGGCTTTGGGGTCTATATAACTGAACCTAAAGACCTACATTAAGAAAATCGGAATAAAGTCTAGTATCCCACCGCTTCAGAAGTCTGAGTTGCTTGGTTCTGCAAATATTGTGCTAAAGGTACAACCTTATCGTACTACTTGATGGAGAATACCCATAATGAAAGAACTCCGGTTGTAAACGAAAAACCGCGAAGAAGAGGAGATAATAATAATAATAATAATAATAATAATAATAATAATAATAATGATAATAATAATCGATAAATCGAGATAATGGCAGATAAATCCACATGAATATGGTTGCGTAGGGGAAATCTAAAGAGAGACAATAAGTCTTTTTTTAAGAATGATCTAAAAAATACTATCAGTATCAACTATATAAAGGCTATCAAATTTAGTATCGTATATAAGGAAACTGAACACGAAATACGCTGCGCTAGAGGTATTCACAACACCGCATATTGTAACAAAACCAAAACATTAAATACTTTCGCTATTTTCTTAAATACACTCATTAGATCGAGAGTTTCACATGGATGTCCTGCGTGTCATCAAACTCATTCAAAAATGTTTAAACGGTCAACTGCACATAAACGTTTTCTAAGAAAATGATCGAAAATGTCTACCAGCAAAAGAACCATTTTAGTCTTAAATTTGATCATCATTCTTCAAACTTCGTGAAATGGAGCTACAGAATCATAAACAACTGTACCAAGTAACAGAAACTACAATATTTGGGAACTTTTAGTGGCAGCAACAACTAAAATGAATAGCCCATGTAACTCGAAAATATAATCGAGGTATTTACTTTCCACACTACTTCACACAAAAGGCCAGGAAGGAAACTCCAATCAATACCGGGAAGACCACCAATAACAATAGGGGCAATCTAAATAGAGAAACTAAGTCTCTTTTAAAAATGGCCTGAAGACATGCCATCAGAATCAACTATATAAAGGTTATAATAGATAAAAAAAGAAAAAAAAAAAAGAAAGATAAAGCCGAGGAATATTAAATTTTGGCAATGTGGACATAAAGACGAAGCGATCAAACAAGTGAATATAGATCAGGAAGAATATAAAAACGTCACCATGAACGTTTTATTAATATCGGCCAGATTATACCAATTTCCTAGTAGCACACGACGTTTTGACTGGTTGATTCTCCGACACTCTTCAAGTGATGGCAATCGATTTTTTTTATCAGACAACAATTTACTGGTGTTTTGGTTTAAAATAATATCATTTAAAATTTTAAAATTGATAGGAAAATTTCGTTAGAAACAAAGAAAAGAGTGCTGAACTGTTATTTTCTTATTCTAATCATTTCATCTCAAGCAAGGCGATAAAGCCACTATGACATAAGGGTTTACTGAGAATGAAAGGAAACGAGGAGACAGGAAAAATAAAAGAACAAGATTCAAAAAGATAGAAGATGGCGTTTGATGTTGCATTTAGATTTTTGAGAATTGTAGATAGAAAGCTAGCAAGAAATTGAAAGGTAGGTCAACAGGCAAGAAGTGCGAGAAAATAAACTATTAGAACAGAACGTACGCTTATATCTAGCTAATTAAGAATTGAAACAATGAGACCTAGTTGCTAATCTAGTACCACGTTTAAATTCATGCGATCGCAATACCAAGGAAGAAAGTTTGTTAGAATAGTTAACATGAAAATATTTATGGTAAAGAAACAGGGAAGCCACGTCATGGAAGTAAGGTGGGAATTAATTCAAGCAGAGATGCCAGGTCAGGACCAATAACATTACATACTCTTCTTTGAATTTTGTCAACAATCTCATGATATATAACAAGAACACCAGATCAAATATGGCAGCAATATTCAATTGATAAACGTGAAAGATAGATCCTGGCGAGAAAAATTGTCAGGACGGCACAGTAAACCAAATTCCTTAGCAGCCGGCCTTGCAATTGATTTAATATAATCATTCTACTTGTCAGTGAAAAACGTGAGACTAAAAAGGCGCAATGAGTTACTCACCTGGAGGTTAGCATCAGCCATGCCGACGGAAGATAAAAAACAGTTCTGTAGGATGACTGAAAGATAGTAGTATCGTTTGGGAGGCATTAAAATTTACAAACCATTTCTTGCACCTGATTGAAAGTAATTTTCGAGAGCAGCTACCAGTTATACTTTAGCGAAGCTATCGGATGTATTGTTAAAACAGGAACGGTAGAGTAATGGCTCGGACTGAGGAATCGGAGGGCCGAGTTCGAATTCCAGTCAAGTTCATTACATTCATTTACACGCTAATACCCTTGGAAAAAGTATGAATCCAAATCGTCTCCACCTATAGTTACATAGTAGAGCAAACTGAGTTCTATAGCTTTGGGTGGCAACCGGCCTAGGAGAAGGAAAACTCTGAATTTAAAACTGTATGTAGCCCTGGCGAAGCACATAATATGCAGCTAAAGAAAGGATCACTCGAACTGGCTCGATGATCCCGACTACAGTCGATCCCCCCCCCTTTTTTTTTAAATAGTTGGTAATTGCTGACATCAGGAAGGTCGTTGATGAAGATCTCATTACACAGTTTGTTAGGAAAGATTGAATCAAATCAAAAATCTGTCAGGAGACACTGTAGCCCTTCAGCTTATGAAGAAGGCCAGTATACCAAATGCTGTCAATTGTCTTTGAGCCTCGCTGTTCTTATCTAAATCATAATAGACAACTTCAATAATAACCGTTAAAACATCGGCAGTTGACCTAGAGAAGCGAAAACTATGAAAGCAGGTGGTATGAAGTGAGATGCTGAACTAATTCGGAGTATTTTGCCATGTACTTTACCAAAAAAAGAAATAAAAGACTAATAGGCCGATAATTATCAAATTATCGATTTATTAGTCTTTCACTTCTTTTTAGAATTAGAAGGTCCACCAGAGTTCTTAAAGACAGGAAATACAGAAGAATATTTCCAACAAGCTGGAAAGCAAGAAACAGTAATGAATTTGTTTAGGGTTTGGAGAGAACAAGATCCAGATCAGAAGCACATTTTCTGAAGACAATTGCAGAGACATCTTCCATTCCCCCCCCTTTTTTTTTATAAATCTACTTTAGAGATGATAGGATGAACAGAATTACATACATATCACTCAGTACAACTTCCAGTCTAAGGTGTAAATCAGGCAAAGATACTCCTGATGAGTTGAGAGTCGAGTTTGA